GTAAAATGGTCAAAAATAGCGTGACGTACTTTATGGACGGCCCCTAAAGGTGCTCAACAGTTAATTGTCAGGGAACTGTTTTTTCTGGGGCAAGTTAATAAAAAAAAAATACATTGATAATAATATTCATAACTTAATCATATGTATAATCTTCAAAGAATGGACAACTCTTATTTATATTAATTATGTACCACTGAGTTACCTTGTTTATTTTTGTCTTAAGTCACATATCCAGATCTCTTTGAATTGGTCTTATTTTTTCACCTTTAGTGGTGAAATTATTCCATTACTTTGAATTCCTCTATTGTAGTTAATTTAAATTAAGTGTTTTTTTTATATAACCTGAATGTGTCTTGTATATTTAATTAATTTAAGACATAATGTAGGTTTTCTGGAAATAATGAAATAGTTATTAAACTTTTATTTTTCTGCTACTTGTCATCATGTGACAAAATTGGATATTATTTTGAACAATAAAACAATTTTTTTTTCTTATATTTTTTGGGGTAATTATTTTAATTTAATTATATACTGGTAGACAAGAGGCAAATGTGATTATTATTCCTTCTTGCACTACTTGAGGCAGGGCTGGCCTTGACAGTTTTGGCATCCCAGGCGAATTAAAATTTTGACCGCACCATCCTCCAACAAATTTCAGGTTGATATTTAACTGTTAATTATTTAAAAGTGCTGCTGGAGAAGACTGAACAGACTTAAAAAAAAGCCGTCTTTCTCTGCCAACTATTTCTAAAAATTTAATTGAATTATTATTTAGATTTTATGTAGAACATTGAAAACTAATCTGTTTAAAATTAAAATGTCTATTTATTGAGATGGCATAAATCTTAACATGCAGTTACTTAACTTGTTAAAAAATTATTTAAAATTTAATTGACGCCATAACTGTACACTATACTAAAAGCAAATTTTTCTGGCTTTTGCGTTAGCAATGATGACAAAATCATATTAGTATAAATGACAATTAACACTATAATGACGACACAAGCTCCTTGATTTTGTTTATGTGCTAACGGTCTTATTCCAGCACATTCTCATCCCACTTCCACACATATTTTTTAAAATGCATTTTAGAAGTCAATAATCCCATTATTTGCTTTGACAATAGGTGGACCTGCCTGAATGAATGTTAAACTATACCCTAATTTTTACAAACAATGACATATAATCAGTAACAAAATGTAATGTTTGCAAAATAATTGTTATACTTAAAATGCCATTTTCATGAAGAAAAGTTTATCTTATTACAAAAAAAAAAAGTTTAAAATTTGATCAGTGCGCATTCTATCTGTTAGTAAGGAAACTGTGTTAGCCAAAGTGGCCTAGTTATTATTAAGGAAGCTGTGTTAGGCCAAGTGGCCTAGTTATTAACTCTCTTCTTAAAATGTTTGCCTTGGTCGTCTATTTCAAAGTATTGTTGCCAGTCAAAATATTTATCAATAAAATTAATCCGCTAATGTTTTATAACAGATACAACATTTTTTAACAAATTAGGTTTGGTATGTCCAATTATTTCATATAAGTAACACTTTTATACCTTCCAAACATGATTGTTTTAAAAAGGAATATGAGAAAAGATCAACAGCATTATTGTCTTAATTTATGTAAAACTAATTTTTAATGAATTTAGTATTTTAAAATTTTGTTCATGATTAAAATGACTTCCTTAAATTATGGCGCTGACTTAAGGCAATACTAAGTAGAAGAAGTCTATGTTTTAAGTCTTTATTCAATATTCAGGCAGGAGAAGTCTTATGTTTACAGTCTTTATTCAATATTCAGACATAATGACCCGTAATCTCTACCATTTTTCTTTAACATGTCATAATCATGGTAAAGATTGTTGATATCCATGCTATAATCATGGCAAAGTTTGTTGACATTCATGCCATAATCATGGTAAAGTTTGTTGACATGTGTTGTAATATCTTGAAGAAATAAATTGCCTGTAGATGTTAATATTGTGTGCCTTTGTTTGCTGAGAAAACTAAGAGACATATTTTGTGGTGGATACCTTAACAATCACTTTTATTGACTTGATTGAAAGTGATTCTCTTCTCAATGAATATTCATTTCAATGTAAGTGTAAGACATTATGCTCTTCAGGACGTCAAATAAAATTTTTCCTGGAACCGTCAAAACATTTTTCAGTTGAAATTTTTAAAATGAACATTTTGATTTTATTTTTGATATTACCGTTTATTAATCTGATTGTTATAGAAGAAATTGGCCAACAGCTTTGTGTAAAGACACACTCTAGGAGCAGCTTGTGGTTGTGACGTACCAGTAGAAAGTATGTTTATTACTCCTTTTTAGAAACTTTGATGGATTGTCACTTCATGCCCTAACTGCTTAAAAGTGACTTTTAAGTTTGTTGTTTCTGCAGAGAGACTGAGAGAGACTGAGAGAGACTGAGAGAGAGAGAGAGAGAGACTGAGAGAGAGAGAGCTACTTTGTCATTGTGATTTGGTTTTAGTTTCAAATAATTGTTTTTTTGTTGTTGTTTTTTCGGTGTATTGTCCTGCTGAAAAAGCCATTTAGCCCAAACGTCCTTTCTATAGTTCTCTTCGTGTTTTTTGTTGTTGTTGTTTTTTTGAAAGCCTAAACATCCTTTTGTTACACTATTTATTTACCCCGGTATTGTTACACTATCTATTTACCCCGGTATGGTTACACTATTTATTTACCCCGGTATGGTTACACTGTTTATTTACCCCGGTATTGTGATACTATTTATTTACCCCGGTATGGTTACACTATTTATTTACCCCAGTATTGTTACACTATTTATTTACCCCAGTATTGTTACACTATTTTTTACCAGGGTACTTCACGCGAATCGAAGGCAGCCCCCCCCCCCCATCCCATGGGAATAAAGGAATAAGATGCATGTTTGTCACAGATTTAAAGCTTTATTTAGCAACAGTAGTTGTCAATGAAACGAATAACAACTGTGGTTACACTATTTTTTTACCCCATTATTGTTAAACTATTTATTTACCCCAGTATTGTTACACTATTTTTTACCAGGGTACTTCACGCGAATCGAAGGCAGCCCCCCCCCCCATCCCATGTGAATAAAGGAATAAGATGCATGTTTGTGACAGATTTAAAGCTTTATTTAGGAACAGTAGTTGTCAATGTAACGAATAACAACTGGAACAGTTGCTGAATTAATAATCAGACCTCTTAATGCAGTCGCTCCTGACATCAGCTGTTCAAAGACCACCCCATGTTAACCCTGACGTACATACACAGGATTCGTCTAATGACGATTCTAAAGGTCTCATCTTTCAACGTTAACTGTCCACTTTGTTTCATGTTTGTTAAATGATGAGGGCAACGAGCAAATAACAGACATAAAAATACAGCTCAGCACTAAAATATTTTTTTTTATATAGACTCGGACGAAAAAAAAATTGAAACAAAAACAACAAGCAAATCCTGTTAAGTTCTAAATAGTAGGCATACAAATTAAGTTGTACCAAAGACATTAGCATGTTCATGTGGGGAAATAACTGGAAAATTTAAATTTCTTTCATTCAGTGAATATTTTATTGTGGTGATTTCCCTTTGACAGCATTTTTTTAAATATAATTTAAAATAAATCATCAGATTAAATTATGTCAGGGGTCACCAGACTTTTTTCACAGTGGGCCGGATAACTGACAAAATGACGAGCGCCGGCCGTATAATCATTCTGTACAATACTTGCAAGCCAGAACGGGAGCTCCTGGGGAAAAGATGAAAAACTAAGTTGA